AACAATATATATATATATATATATATATATATATATATATATGTAAAATGCTAGTGGAGGTATGTGTTTCCATTCTCCTCTACATGGATCCGTCAATTTACCGATGCAAGATCCTCCTAGTTTGTTCTTGCTACTAGTTCACAAATAAAATGATGAAGCTCCTATATGGCAAGCTTCTTGACCGGATGGAAGAAATTCTTCAAGCTTAAGCCAAGAGAATCTTCAAGGCCCACTACTACAGAAGACACATTTTACATCGGTTATTTAACGCTATCTACATCGGTTCTAAAACCGATGTAGAATGGAGAGACGTAGTACATGTATAGCATTTTACATCGGTTCTGTGAATAACTGATGTAAATTTCTGCATAATTTTATATCGGTTCTGTTTATAACCGATGTAAATTTGTACCCACATTTACATCGGTTATAAACACAAACGATGTAAAATTATGCAGAAATTTACATCGGTTATACGCAGAACTGATGAAAAATTATACTCTCATTTACACCTGTTCCTATTTGAACCAATGTAGATTATTAATTTTTTTTTTAAATTTGTTTGATTTTAGGTTCTTTCTAATTTAACCTGTAATAACCACATATTCTCTGCCAGATTTTTGAAAATGTACATGAAATTAAAAGATTAAACAAACCCACAGACAAATCAAAATAGACAAAAAGAACAAATTGACTTACACAAAAAATACACTATATGGCATATGTAATTAATTTTAATTTTCATCTACAACTAATGAAGAAAAATCCTGAAAATGAAGGTTATAAAACTTGTCCACCAAAATGACAATAACAAACCATATTAAAGCATGAAACAACCCACTATGGCATGATTTATGTTCCCAGGCAGCTATTATAAGCTATTTGTCTTCACCTAAATCAACAATATATCTAACAATTCTAGTCCTAAAATTTATATGATCACTGTCCTTCTTTTATGTGATCACCCTCATTCTTTTATACTACTATAATTTTAAAGAAAATAAGAGCAATAATAATTCCAGCCCTAAATGTAACCAATTTCTCCAATCATCCAACATCAACCAGTTAAACTTGCAGCAAAATCATGCTAAGGAGAATGCCAATAAAAAAAGGTAGATTGTAACCAAGAAAATCTGCCAAGTTAGTAGAACAACTTGATAAAATTGAACATCTAGTAGAATACCAAATCAAAAATAGAAACTAAAATTTGATACAATACAAACATAAGAACGACTAAGTATAGCAATACAACACCAAATCAACCAGAAATAAAAACTAAAATGTGATCTAACCCTCCACGTATCCGGAAACCAAAATGCAACATCGTTAAAAATCATGATCTATTTCTAAATTTTTCTAAAAAGAACTTTGCCCATTGACTGCGAATGTCTTCCAATTTTGTTTCTGGCAATGGCGCAACATCGTCAAAAAGCTGTAACATACATGATGATATTAGTTACATCATAATCATTAAAAGAAATTAATCAATATTGTTAAAAATAAAAGAATTATATTACCTCGATCCAATCAGTTGTTACTTCTCCTTCAATTATGTCCAACATCCAATTCATCACGTAGTATCCACATTCATAATGTCCTTGTTGCATATTACTCTAAAATGAATATCAATTTGAGTTGTATAAATAATTTTTTAATTAAGCTAATAAAAAGCAATTTTTAGGTATATTGAGGTAACAAACCACTTACCATGGGGTAAATCCAATCTAGGTTCTTTGGTTGTGCTGTAGATCTACCACTCATAACATTATACACAACCATAACACTAAAGAAAATAAATCCAAATAAGTTACATGATTAAAATTTATAATGGAGAGCATAAAGTTAATACATGTTACAAATTAAAGTTTACCTTTTTATTAAATTTTTGAATTGTACATTGGGCTTACGATGCAAAGAACAAAACCAGATTGCAACATTGTTTGTAGGACAAAGAACCAGGAGCTGCCAATGATTTCTATATTGAGCAACAATTAGTTACACAACATATACATAAAATAAATGCAATTAACAAACATGCACTTACTGATCGACATAAGGAGCCAAGTAAATTTGCTTTGGTGAAGTTTTTATCCTTTCATTGATATAATTTTGAGACTTAGCTTTTTTATTCCCTGATTTTTGTATTGTCTGGGGCTCAAAAAATCCATACAAGTCACCATGGCCAAGCTCCTCAATTTTTTGATTCAAATATCTGAAATATATGCAAAAGAAAGAATTAATTATGAATGCATCATAGTTAAAAAGATAATGATACTAAGAATTGTGTACTTACAACATCCATAATTGTATGATTGAGATGTTGAGCATTTCACGTTGTATTAATTCATATATATCTTGAAATGAAATATACAACTTAAAATCATGATTGTTGACACCAAATAGACTTGCAGGACATATCACCTGAAATGATTAGATTGGCTAAAATATTATATTAGATATTAAAAACATGTTTATATTATAAATAAATTAAACTTAATTTTTATACAACTTAAAATATTTATTTTTATATTTTTATTAGTATTAAATTATTACAAAGTATATTTTTAGAATTGTAGTTCTAACAAAATATTTAAAAAAATGTTTATGATAGATAAATAAGTATATTTAGGACATGTATTTGAAAAAAATTTAGGTTCAAACCTATTAAATTATAATATAACATAGTTTGACTTAACTTATTTTTATCTTTAATCGTAAGCATAATTATAAAAGTTTGTAAAAAATAATTATGATAGATATTTATATTTTTAAAATTTATATGTAAAATTTTTATCAATATAAATATATAAATAATTATTGCCCTCACTATCTAAAATTTCTGGATCCGTCACTGATTATACGTCAAATAGAATATCAGCATGAGGCTCACCCCCAAAGGGATTACCAACAATATTAGCACTTGAAGGAGTTGGACAACTGCCTTTAGTGCTAGCACGAGCCACCATAGCATGATCTACCTCAACTGGAGGAACATCTTGTGACTGTTGAGCACTCATATTTGGGTACTTTGACATTAAACTTTGTGTGACCCGTACATATATTTGTTGTGTGAGGGCTTCAAATCCTGGGGGCTCAATTTAGATAAGGATGAGTCTTTTGACAATGGTCCAAAGTAATTACTAATAGTAGCACCAGCCCCAGCTGTACGAACACGACCAGGGTGCTCTGGTCGCCCAAGGGCAGTAGTCAATATATCTTGACGAGCTTCGGGAATAAAAGAACCTTGTGATGCTTGCTCCTCCAACTCATTCTACAATAAATAAACTTTTTTTATAATATATCCTACAATAAAAAAATTCTACAACAAATCTTAAAATAGGTAATGAGTTTTTTTTATAAAAAAAATACTTACAATTTTTTTTGCAACTTGGTTAGCAGGCTCAGAAGTCATCTCACCCGAACTTTTTGTGCGAGCCATGTTCCACAACCTATGGCGTGGAGGAAGAGGCGGAGGATCAATCACTACATCCTCACTAGCACCGGATTGTATTGCTTCCTCCTTAAGTCTCTTAATTTCACTTTTCATAAAATTTCTCACAAGTAGCTCATAACCCCCACGAGATAATAGGTGGGGAGCATTATTAAGTTTCTGGATATCTTGTGTTTTTTTTCTGACAAGCTGCAATAATTTAATAACCCCATAAGTAAAAGTGAAAAATAAATAAAAATATAATATAAATTTTAAAAACAATAAACACTACTTACCTTCCAAGAAGGGTCATTTCGAATTTCTTTAAATTTTTCCCATTCTTCAGGGTCAATATTATAGTCATCACAAGGACTTTTACCCTTGTATTTCCCATGTACCCACTCCCTTATAAGATAAGACTTATGTTGCCTAAATTTTGTAGCAACAGATGAAAGCATTTTACTCTTCAATATATTAGTATCACTGATGTCATACACTCCCTACAAAACAAATTTAGACTTAAGAGTTAATAATAACATTAAAAATGATTATCATTTTGTCAAATTATGTAAATATAGTGGAAATACCAAAATATCCTGCCAAATCATGTTTTTAGTAGTTTGTGGGACTTCTTTCCAAGAAGGGACTAAAATACTAATGTTGTCTCTAGCAAGAGTTCCCAAATAACTTGAAAATTGAGCTTTGTTTGGCCCTGAAACTATCCCAGTAGTGGGATCCACATCAAGTGATATTTTGGACCCTTTCATGCGCTTACGGGCTAAACTTTTCATTCGTGTCGGCTTCCTCTTTTTCTTAGATGTAGCCTGTGAAGTAGGGACTGTAGGAGCAGGGGAGGCTTGAGAAGTAGGGGAGCCTTGAGGAGCAGTGCTCGGTTGAGTATCCATGTGTCTGTTTTGACAAAAAAATAACCAAGGTCAATTGGAAAAGTAATAAAATGAATTAAAAACATGAAAAAATGAATGAAAAGAATATTAAATTATACATCAAGATAAACATAACTTAATGCGGTAATTAAATAGTAATGTTTTCCCATATGCCTTCATCATGGTCATTACGAGTGGCATGAATGTCGTTTTGCTCAATTTCTTCATTGTTAGTAGGCATACGTGTTGAGAAAGAAAGACTCTCCCAAAATTCAACTGTTGAATCATCAACATTGTGTACACTTCTACCTTGTAGAACCACATACCACCTTTCATCAATAGGATCTTTGACATAAAATACTTGTGTTGCTTGGTTTGCCATGATGAAAGGTTCATCCTTATGACCCACCTTGCTAAGGTCTACCATTGTAAATCCCATTTCATCGGTTCGCACACCAATGTTAATATCAACCCATTTGCACTTAAAAACAGGAACTTTAAAGGCACCATAACTGATCTCCCAAATGTCTTCAATGACTCCGTAGTAACTTGTGGATGCCACAACGGGATTTTTATCATTTCTACTACAAAAATGCATGGATTGAGCCTGAAGAGTAACCCCACTATTCTGCATGGTACTATTGTCATCTTGTGACTTTGTGTAAAAGGAAAAGTTATTGATATCATAGCCAGTATAAGTAAAAACATTATATTTAGGTTCATTTGCAAGACATTTTAATGTGTTAGAAACACTATCATCACTAAAGACTTTTTCTTTGAACCATTTTAAGAATGTCTTCAATTAGATAAATAAATTAGATATATAAGTCATCTTATTTCATCAACTACATAAATATAATTCATCTCATTTCTTCAACTAGATAAATAAATTAGATATATATAATTCTGTTTAAGGTACCTTACTAAGAAGATATGACAAACTAGATCTGTTGACTAATGGATATCAAGAAGAGAAGTATCACCCTCTACACACTTCCTGCCAAATCAAAATCAAGTTTAAGAATATTAAAATTTAACTTATAAATAATTATAATAAATAAAAATTAAATTAAATATAAAGTTTAAAAAGGTTTTACGAATTTTGTCAATGTTTTGATTGAAGCTAATTTGGTTTAGGTTTGGTCACAGGCCTAATCAACCTATAGATTCTATACTAATAAATTTAATACACTTTAATTCTCGCTTTCAAGTACAGCATCATTATATTAAAGAGGTTTGTAGTTTATAAATTACACTATTGAAAAAACCCAAAACAACCCATGTCAGGACCAAGTAAGTGTAAGAGAATAAAGAGAAAAAAATAACTTAACAATTTACCTCATTATTATATTAAAAAGATATAAAATTAATTTTTCTTTTTTCTAGATTAAGCACATCATCTACTATGACAAACCACGTGCCCCAAATTTCAGTGTTGTTTCCGTCATATAAGCAAGGACTTATTATTCTTTACCTCTGGTAAATATTCAATGGGAATGGTTGAACCTCAATTCAATTATTGCATGGCCTTGCACTGCATCACAAGAAATCATAATTACATTACCTCGTGTACAAATGTACAATTGTACAATAGATACATTAGTGTGTCCAATTTTATTTGTTCCACTGTTGGTTCAATGTTTGTCTCTGTTGGAATTACTCATTGCATTTCTTGTCTCCAAATTATGCTGTGTTGGTTTTATTAGTGAAAGACAATGAACACTGACATAGCAGAACACAACAATGGAATGAATGTGACATGGCTTCTACACTAACAAATAAATAGAATAAAATAGCATTGTGTATGAATGTGACTAATTGAAGGGCAGAATAGTTGCTAGCTGTCATATATAGGATGGTGATGTTGGTTTGCTTTCTACACTAAGTGTGAGTTTTGAACGTCTCTATTGATTAGGATTTACTGAAAATGAATTGTTCACTGTAGCCATTGGAACGGCACAGCCCAAAAAGGGATGTTTGAAAAGAAGGTTTGTTAATCTCAAATAAACTTGTCCACACTTTTCAATTTATTTTAAAAGATATCTGCAAGTTTCTTTTGAAGTATTAAACTTATATCACTTTAATCATTTTAGAGTTATTTATTAAATTCTTAGCAGAACATGGATTTAGACTTAACTTAATTCTACAAAACCATGAATATGAGTGACAACTAATAGACCAATTAACTTAATCCTATAAAACCGTGAATGTGAGTCACAACTAATAGACCAACTATTTAAATAGAAAACTACAAATACAAATCCTGTGTAGCAACTAATCTTCTATTTAAACAAAGTGGAAAAGAAAAACTATAAAAGAAAGTCCTAACCACTAAATTATTAAAGCTCCATAAACTAATTATTTCAAAAGCTTAAACTAAATACATAAAGGAAAATCTTTCACACAAATTAATATAATGGAGGAGAATTTGATTAGAGCTCATTATGTATGGGTTTTCATATTAAGAGAGATTAAGAATTCTCACTATTTAATTTGTTTCTAAATACATGAACCCAATTCATTCACGCAAAATCTTTCATTCAAACTTTTTTCATCAAAAAGGCTCTATAGAGTCCCCAATTTGAAGTATTTTACTTTCACGCAAGTAACAGGGTATAATGAGCAATTGATATTTCACAGTTAATTAAGGATGCAGTTTTATATTCATACCATGCATAAACATCATCAATCAATAACCTGTCTTATTTTTCTAAACTGTAGTAATAAACGTATATCATATAAGTAACTGTAAGTAACAGGCCCAAATATATGGCTATATCCGTATGGTCCAATATGAACCAACAATCTTATCCACTTGAAACTAATATAACTTAATATTTTATACTATGAAATATACACCATCCTTAAGCCAATCTGATAATTTGACAAAGAAACAGAATTCCACTAAAAAATAAGAAGCCTGTGTATAATTTGATTATAGTTCCTTATAAAAAAAATTGTTTAACAAGATACTTCATCCTAAAATTCTTGATCATACCATTAGTAGCGAATAATAGAGATGGTGAACAGTAAACTACCTTATTTTCATTGGATATAGCATACTTTGTGAAATCAACATCATTCTGGGAAAACTCCTTTGATCCATCATGCAGTAACTGTTTAAACACATCAAGTGCATATTAAGGATTACATTTTACTCAGCTAGCTCCAATAAAACTCGATTCACAAAAAAACTTTTTCAAACTATAAACAGTGGACACTGCAAACTCTGTATTTTAAAGAGAAAAAATAATAACAAACCCTTTCAAGTATTGCGTACTTTTATTGTCTGATACACATTAGCATGAATGACTGGTAACTAGCTTTTTAGTTCTGCCTCGTCAAAGCCAGTTTGAAACAAAAGTTTTATCTGCATATTATAGACAAATAAAAAAATATAAACAATCTATCAAGTATATACAATGCTAAGAACATGGACAACAATACATTTTCTTACCTGCTTAAATATTGTGGACTTCCCTGACTCTCCAGCTCCTAAACAACAGGAAAATTGACACGGTTAAACAAGTCCAGAAGAAAAATAACAAAATCAACCACACAAGAAATTAAAATATTATTGCATATATGATTCAATTAAATGAATATGGCAATAATACACAAGTAATAGTATCAACATCTGGCCACCAAGTGCTTTTGAAAATGCTCCAATCACCAGCAGAAACTACACCCAAACAATATTTGCTATTCCTTAAAATCCGGGGAGCATTATCACCACTTATACAATGCTATATTCCAAGTGCCTCCATAAGTCACTTAAATTGAAAAACTTTAACTTTAAAATGTATTAGTGAAGAATATAAAACAGATATATAACAAAACTGCCCAGGTAAAAGGTACCAAGAGTTTAGTCCCGATAACCGAAAGTTTTTCATCCCCTGCAATGTTACTAGTATCATGTGTGTATCCTCATCCTAAACTCAACGTTGAGAACGGGGTGTAAAAAAAATACATATTCCATTCAGAAGCATTAACCCTGACGCAAAAATATCAAATTCACCTAAAGCAACTAACCCACACTCCAGTCCAAACAAAAACAATTAATGGCCTTCTTTCAAGATGTAATCATTTGAGGTCTTCTGTTTCTGTAATCATTTTTCAGAGTTCAAATGAACCCTGTACACATATAAACAAGCAAAATCAGAAGTTTGAAAGCGAAAGAGAACATACCTGCCGGAGTTAGAGTTTTCGATGATGATGCTTTTCACGAACTGAGAAGATTCTGGGTGCTTACGATTAACGTTCTTGTAGAATCATAATCTGAAAAACAAAAGGGCTTTGGAGAACGATGGGAAGCAAAGGGCTTTCTTCAGAGACGATGAAGGCGTTCTTTAGCAATGCCGCGCGCGAGGCTTTCTTTGGTGGTGGGACACGCACAATGGAGGGAAAGCTATTGGGTTCTACATCGGTCGTAAAGTGAACCGATGTAAATTTATTTAAGTTTTTTCTCTTATTTATAAGATTGCCACCATGATTTCAGAACTACATCGGTCCCTAATAAACCGATGTAAATCTGCTTTAAATTGTTTAAGTAATTACAAAACTGTCACTGCATTCTATTTTTACATCAGTTATATTAAAATCGATGTAAAATTGGCGATGTTAATGGATCTTTTTCTAGTAGTGGCTGGAACTAGCTTGGAAGAATCAAGGTTGATTCAATGGTGCTGGAAATTCCGGAAAGAACTCCTAAAGCTCCAAAGAGGAAGGCTCAAGGAGATGAGAAGGAGAGAGTTCTCCTTGAAAGAGACTCTCGGTGAGGGATTCAACTTTGATGAAAATGAATCTCATATATGCCAAAAGCATCAAATTACACGGTCACAATAGAATATATAGGTTTTAGGAAGTGTGCTAGGGAAGCTAAGTTAACCTAAGGTTTAATTAAACCATGGTATGGTCAATTAAACGTTAGGTGACAAAATTTGAATGTTTAAATTCAAATTTTGGTGCCAAACCGTCACCCCACCCCATGTGCTACTTACGTTGAATGTCATTTAGCATTCATTTAAGAGTGAATTTGGAACACCCCATGTGCATGCAAGCACATGGCTGAAATGCTCTCCAAATGTAATATTAATAACATTTAAATTGAGACGCACATGCAACTCCCTTTAAACCTAAATTCAAATCACATGGAAATGAAATGCCTAATATACTAGGCCAAAATACAAGGCCCAAAAAATACACAAGCCCATTAGGCTAACCTTACTTTACTTGGGCTTTAGAGAATAGCCCAACTAAAAAGAACTATGGGCTTTTCCTTATTATTAGCCCATTCTTCATGCATCCTCCTGGCCATGGCCCTAGTAGTTGGGCCTTTGGCCCATGGGCCTCCATCATCCCCTCCCTCTTGAAGAGGATTTGACCTCAAATCCCAAAAATCCTCCTCTTGTTCATCAACCCCTATAAAAAGAGATAAATCAGAGATGTTAAAATTAGGGTTGACTCCATACTCAGAAGGGAGATCTAGAACATAGGCATTGTTATTGATCTTCTTAAGAACCTAAAAGGGTCTATCCCCTCTAGGACTAAGTTTGGACTTTCTTTTGGAAGGAAATCTATCATTCCTAAGGTGAAGCCAAATCCAATCACCTTCATTGAAGATAACTTCCTTTCGACCCTTATTATTGTATTTTGTATATTTTCTGTTTGGGATTGAATATGATCTCGAACCCTCTCATGTAATTTCTTAATAAATTCAGCCCTAGATGTTCCTTCCTTATGAATAAAGAAGGAAGCATCATCTGAGAGAGGTAAAAAATCTAAAGGTGTGAGGGGATTGAAACCATATACAATCTCAAAAGGAGACATTTAGTGGTTTTGTGGACCACTCTATTGTAATCAAACTCCACATGGGGTAGGTAGTCATCCCATGACTTTTTATTACCTTTGAGGATTGCCCTCAACATAGTCCCAAGAGACCTATCAACTACTTCAGTTTTCCCATCAGTTTGAGGGTGACATGTAGTAGAAAACATGAGTTTAGTTCCTAGCCTAGACTAAAGGGTTTTCCTAAAATGGCTAAGGAACTTAACATCTCAATTAGATACTATAGTTTTAGGCAACCCATGTAGCCTTACTACCTCTTGGAAAAATAATTTAGCAATGTTACTTGCATCATCCACTTTGTGGCATGGAATAAAATGTGCCATTTTACTAAAATGGTCCACTACCACAAATATGGAATCTTTTCCTCTTTGGGTTTGAGGCAATCCAAGGACCAAGTCCATGGATATATCAACCAAAGGAGCATTGGATATTGGTAAGGGGGTGTACAATCCATGAGGTTTAGTTGTAGACTTAGCTTGAAGACAAGTTATGCATCTAGAACAAAACCTTTGAACATCTCTTTTCATATGAGGCCAAAAGAATTTCTCTTTTAATAGCAAAAGATTTTTCTCAATCCCAAAATGTCCCATGAGTCCACCTTCATGAATCTCCTTTACCAAAAGTTCCCTAATAGATCCTTGGGTATACAAAGTTTATTTTCTTTAAAGAGAAACCCCTAAGAAATATAGTAACCTTGGTAAGGCTTTTGAATACATAAAAGATAAAAGTTAACAAAACCAGGAATTTTCTCATACAATTCCTTGATGTCATCAAACCCTAGTATTTGAGAACCAAGGGTGTTTAATAAAACATGTCTTCTTGATAAAGCATCAGCCACTACATTGTAGAGTCTTTCTTATATTTGATGACATAAGGAAATTGTTCTAGATACTCAACCCATTTTGCATGCCTTTTATTTAATTTACCTTGACCCCTCAAATATTTTAGTGATTCATGATCACTATGAATGACAAATTCCTTGGTCACAAGATAATTCCCAAGTTTGAAGGGCTCGAACCAAAGCATAAAGCTCATTGTCATAGGTTGGGTAGTTCAAGGCAGCCCTATGCAGTTTTTCACTAAAATAAGCTATGGGATGGCCACCTTGTAACAACACAGCTCCTATGCCAATTCCTGAAGCATCACATTCTAGCTCAAAAGTTTTGTTAAAATATGGTAAAGCTAGAACAAGTGCTTGAGTGAGCTTTTGCTTAAGCTCTTGAAAGGCTAAGTTATGCTTTTCTTGCCAAAGAAAGATCACATCCTTCTTCACTAACTCATTGAGTGGTGAAGCTAATATAGAGAAGTTAAGAACAAAATGTCTATAAAAGCTTACCAAACCATGGAAGCTCCTAGCTTTACTTACATTAATAGGAATATGCCATTCTTGAATGGCTTTGATTTTCTCGGGATCTACATGAACCCCATTTTTACTCACTATAAATCCCAAGAATATAACATTATCCATACAAAAGGTACACTTGTCTACATTTGCAAACAAGTGATTTTCTCTAAGCACAAGCAACACTTGCCTTACGTGATCCACATAGTCACTTAGACTCTTGCTCCTAAAAAAGGGTTTTAAACCTTAACTAGAACGGGTCGTTCCAAGTTATGAAAAATGCCTAAAACCCCTTTTTTGGAACGACCGTTCCAGTGTAGGCATATATATGTTAATCTCACTTCTGGAACGGGCCGTTCCAGTTTCAGAACGGGCCATTCCAGTCACAAAATTAACACATAATGACCAGATCCAGAACGGGCCGTTCTGATTTTGGAATGGGCCGTTCTGGACCTTTTCTGATGCCTATAAATAGATAGCTTGGGCACAGTTCTCAGGACTCCAAAATTTCATCCAAAACTCCTTAGAGCTCGAAATTTCTCTCTCTGTCTCCTATTGTATTTCTTGAGTTTTGTGAGGCTTATTGTAGTGTGAAAGGTTGCCACAAAGCACCTAAATGTCCATATTTGAATATTAATAGAGCTCGTTCAAGAGGTATTTCAGTTAATTTTCTTCTCTCTCTTTTATTTCTTTTCTTTGATAAATATTGTTTATAATAAAAGCAATCATGTAGACATTTTAAGGTAAATTGTATAATTTAAATTTCAAGCATGTAAATAGTTATTAATAAAATGGGATTTAATATTTATATTATTATTTTTTATAACGCTAACTTCATCATAAGGTACCAATTGCGGGCGTTGTAGGGGTGCTTAATACCTTCCTTACACGTAATCGACCCCGAAACCCAATTCTGGTTATCAAGGCCATTATTGGATTTTTAAAAACCTCTTCTTTTTCCAATGTTTTGAGTAAAACATTGGTGGCGACTCCATGAACTCATTTTTCAAAACCATTAATTAAGGATTAGTCTGGTGTCCGGGCATTCCTTAATTAATGAGATATTTAAAAGGATGTCTAAATCATAGGTCGCAAGATCGAAAATTTTTGGGTTGCGACAGATGGAGACTTCACTCGGGACGTTTAAAGAGGGTCAAACCCATTTAATCGATGAAGTTAATAAAATAAAAAAATAATTTAAATATTTTTCCCATTTACTTTGTTTATTTTATTTGCTTGGCTTTAATATCTGTTTGCTTGTTTAAATTTCGCACTTGTTAGAATAAAAATTGTACACAAAATCTTTGCACACAACAGTTCCCCCTACACCCGGGGGCATGAGGGTATTAAACATAGGGAGTGGTTGACGTACGACCGGCCCAAGTTTGGCCTTGGAGCCTACGAGCCTTGTCGGAAATCACACTCAAGGTGATAACCGGTTACTCTAGTCCGAAATACTGCGACAGACCTTAGAGTTTGCTAGGTGACGGTGACAGAGATACTGGGTCCCTATAATGGGGGCACCTTGGGATCCTTCAAGACCAGTGAGATTAGAACCGTCCTATACAACACACTTTTCTTGACAGGGACCACAGACCAATGATTTGAACACGATCGTTCGTGGGTGTACGTTGATTGAGCATGTGTATGTGCATTTGTTTGTATTATTTCTTCTAATAAGAGTGGATTCAAATTTTAAAATAAGCAAACAGATAATAAAAAAAAATAAAAATTTTATACCCTTTCGTACATTCTTAGGTTAGCATTCCATTAACATCATATAAGTAGTTTCCTTTTTATAAAAAAAATCAATAAAATAAGTTTCTTCTTTACCATGCATCATTTCCCTTTAGACAATATAAACATGATAAAGATTAGGCAAAAAAATATGACATGCATTCTAAATTAGCTCATTAGTTTTATTCATTTTATTTTATTAGCTAAGGAGGAATAGGTTGCAATACGTATAGAAAGTTAAGAAAAGTGAATGGTCTAATATACGACAGTATACGACAGTATCTGCTTCTCTAAAGAGAAGCCCAAATCAATTTTAAAAAAAAATACTATGGTTGGGCCCTTGCTTTGATATGTTTGTTGAAGTAAGTATTCTTAGAATCTAATATAGATTCTCGCTTAATACTGTCGAAATCTATTTGAGCATTCATAGATAAACAAATCAATGAGACTGATATTTATTATTCTCAAATTTCTCTACATTCTGCATTACATTCATTT